CACAGGGGAGTTTTACCAAACATTCAAGGAAGAACTAAAACCTATCCTACTCAGACTATTCCAAAAAATTCAAGAGGAAGGAACACTTCCAAGCTCATTCTATGAAGCCAGCATCACCCTAATACCAAAACCAGATAAAGACAACACAATGAAAGAGAATTACAGGCCAATATCCCTCATGAACATAGATGCCAAAATACTCAATAAAATCCTAGAAAATCGGATCCAGCAGTACATCAGAAAGATCATACACCATGACCAAGTAGGATTTATCCCAGGGATGCAAGAATGGTACAGTATCCGCAAATCAATAAACGTGATACATTACATAAACAAACAGAGGGAAAAAAGCACACAGTCATATAATTGATGCAGAAAAAGCATTTGACAAAATCCAACACCCATTTTTGATAAAAACTCTCAGCAAAGTGGGAATAGAAGGATCATACCTCAACATAATAAAAGCCATATATGATAAACCCACAGCCAACATCATACTCAATGGGCAAAAACTAAAACCATTTCCCCTAAGAAGAGCAACAAGACAGGGATGCCCACTCTCACCACTCCTGTTCGACATAGTACTGGAAGTATTAGCCATTGCGATTAGACAAGAAGAAGAAATAAAAGGCATCCAAATTGGAAATGAAGAAGTAAAACTGTCCTTATTCGCAGATGACATGATATTGTACATAAAAAACCCTAAAGACTCCATCAAAAAACTATTAGACTTGATAAATGAATTCGGCAATGTAGCAGGATACAAAATTAATGCCAAGAAATCTATGGCATTTCTATACACCAATAATGAACTTACAGAAAGAGAGACTAAAAAAGCAATCCCATTTACCATCACACCAAAAAAATTAAGATACCTAGGAATAAACTTAACTACAGAGGTAAAAGACCCCTACTCAGAAAACTACAGGACGTTGAAAAAAGAGAGAGAGGAAGACATAAACAGATGGAAGAACATACCATGTTCATGGATTGGTAGAATCAACATCATTAAAATGTCCATACTACCCAAAGCAATCTATAAATTCAACACACTCTCCATTAAAATACCAATGACTTATTTCACAGACCTAGAACAAACTCTCCAAAAATTCACCTGGAAAAAAAAAAGACCCCGAATAGCTGCAGCGATCCTGAGAAAGAACAATAAAGAAGGTGGGATCTCAATACCAGATATCAAGCTGTATTACAAAGCCACTGTTCTCAAAACTGCCTGGTACTGGCACAAGAACAGACATATAGACCAATGGAATAGAATAGAGAACCCAGAAATCGAACCGAACCAATATGCTCAATTAATATTTGACAAAGGAGGCAAGAACATACAATGGAGTCAAGACAGTTTCTTCAATAAATGGTGCTGGGAAAATTGGACAGATACATGCAAAAAAATGAAACTAGACCACCAACTTACACCATACATAAAAATAAACTCAAAATGGATAAAGGACTTAAATGTAAGTTGAGAAACCATAAAAATACTAGAGGAATCCAAAGGCAATAAAATCTGACATATGCTGAAGCAATTTCTTCACCGATACATCCCCTAGGACAGTGGTCGGCAAACTCATTAGTCAACAGAGCCAAATATCAACAGTACAATGATTGAAATTTCTTTTGAGAGCCAAATTTTTTAAACTTAAACTATATAGGTAGGTACATTGTTATTAACTTAATTAGGGTACTCCTAAGGCTTAGGAAGAGCCACACTCAAGGGGCCAAAGAGCCGCATGTGGCTCGCGAGCTGCAGTTTGCCGACCACTGCCCTAGGGCATTGGAAACTAAAGAGAAAATAAACAAATGGGACTACACCAAAATAAAAATTTTCTGCACAGCAAAAGAAACCATCAACAAAACAACAAGAAAGCCCACTGCATGGGAGAACATATTTGCCAATGTTATCACCGATAAGGGTTTAATCTCCAACATTTATAGGGAACTCATACAACTTAACAAAAGAAAGATAAACAATCCAATCAAAAAATGGGCAAAGAACCTAAATAGACACTTCTCAAAAGAGGACATTCAGAAAGCCAAGAGACATATGAAATTACGTTCCAAGTCATTAATCACCAGAGAGATGCAAATCAAAACAACAATGAGGTACCATCTCACACCTGTCAGAATGGCTATCATCAACAAATCAAAAAATGACAAGTGCTGGAGAGGATGCGGAGAAAAAGGAACACTCGTGCACTGCTGGTGGGAATGCAGACTGCTGCAGCCACTATGGAAGACAGTATGGAGTTTCCTCAAAAAACTAAAAATGGAACTCCCATTTGACCCAGTGATCCCACTGCTAGGAATATATCCCAAGAAACCAGAAACACCAATCAGAAAGGATATATGCATCCCTATGTTCATAGCAGCACAATTTACCATAGCTAAGATCTGGAAACAACCTAAGTGCCCATCATCGGATGAATGGATTAGAAAACTGTGGTACATATACACACAATGGAATATTATGCTGCTGTAAAAAGAAGGAATTCTTACCATTTGCTACAGCATGGATGGAACTGGAGAGCATTATGCTAAGTGAAATAAGCCAGTCAGTGAAAGAAAAATACCACATGATCTCACTCATTTTTGGATAATAAAGACCATTATAAACTGATGAACAAAAATAGATACAGAGGCAGAGCAGCATTAAACAGACTGTCATACTACAGCAGGAAGGCCAGGGAGGGTTGGGGGGGAGTGGTAGGAGTTCAACTGAAGGACTTGTATGCATGCATATAATCATGACCAATGGACACAAGACACTGGGGGTAGGGGAGGCTGGGGGAAGGTCAGGGGGGGGGGGGAAGGAGACAAATGTACTACTCGTTGTAATATTTTAAGCAATAAAAAAAAAGAGGCACCTTCTAGGAACCTTCAGTCTGAGCGCATTTTGCCTACCAGAGATGTTTCTATCCCCTGGCCCCCTGCTCCCAGTGTTTTTAACTATATTACTACAAAATGCAACTAGTCCAGAAATTGTGAAAACACAAGACCACAGAGGAGCCAGCTGCTAATTAGGCCTGGGGATGTGGGGGGAGCTTTTACAGTGGAGGTAATCTTGTAGGTTTGCACCTGTTCTAAAGTCTGGGTGCGCACTGTCCAGGCTGAGTAAGTAAAAAGATAATGTCAGCAGGTGACTCTGGTTGTGGTCTATGCAGGAGGTCTGCTGATGCTCCTCTTCTCTTTGGGAATCACAAATCTCTATACAGGCAGCGCCCTCTGGAGGTGACTTAGTGTGGGAACTGCCTGAGAGGGATTGCTACATGGCCTGGACCTGGCCCAATAAGAATGCCTCTCTCAGGCTGAGTCAGGAAATAAAAGGAAAATACTGAAAAAGAGCCAAAGCCACAGAACGAGGCGGGGGTGGGGGAGCACCAGATGAATGCCTCTGAGGAAGGTAAGAGTTAGGGTGACTGGGTGACTGTTGAGTCACTCTGAGAGCCTGGCTGTGCAGCTAAGAAAGGGTCTTCCTTTGCTTCTGATAAAGTCGATTTGCATATTGGGATCCATACACTGGATGTCACCCCAGGGACCCAGCCCAGGTCACAAATCTAAACCTAAGTCAGCCTGCATGTAAAGGGAACACCTGGAAGGAAAGCGAACAGAGACCACTGATCATCCTCCAACTCAGCGTTAGTGAGCTCACCTCACCCAGGAAAACAGGACTTGCTGGCCTTAGAAGGAAATCCCCGCCCTTCTAGCCAATCCTAACGCTCTAGAAATGCGCCCCAAATCCCTCTGGCAGAGGGCCCCACTGCTTGGGAGGCACTGTACGTGCCCAATCCATGGATTGTTTTCCCTTGAATAAAAAACATTAAACTAAAAAAAAAAAAAAAAAAAAAAGAAATCTTCTGGGAACATTATCGAAGGGAAAAGTATTCATTCATTTACTTCTTGTTGTATCCTTGGTGAATGAGTATCACTGTGGGATGCAGATTCCATGGTTTGGGATCCTGGAGTCCCAAAGTCAGGTTTCAACAAAATCTGGAGAGTTCTTTCACCCTTGTGATTGTAGATGTCAAGAGGGTACTTTGATTTAGGTAAAGGTTGTGTAAACAGAAATAAGAGATGGGGGATGGGTGGAGGAGTACTAAATTCAGTAAGACAGTTTAGAGGTGTAGATGCAAATTAGCACCATTCAAAACAAGTTTGAGGCCCTGTTTCACCCACACAGTTCCATTGAATTTCTATCTCACAGTCACAGGAATGACATTTCCACATCCCTGACATTATAAATATGAGAATTAAATGAAGCCAAAAAATTTCCTCAGCTTGTGAAAATTACACATCACACAGTAAATTCAGACAAAGGGAAAAACTCTCTCAGTACTGATTTAAAAAAAGCACCTAGGAAGTCATCACTTGAAGAATTACAGCTAGATTGCATTGCATTGGAAAACAAATGCTCTTGGGTTAGAAACAAGGTGAAAGCTTGGGCTACATTGGTATATAGAGCAAAAAACATTTTGAGGAGTACATGCCTTCACATTTTCCCTTCATTCAAAATTTTGAACTGGAATAAACAACTGCTTTCTAGGTCTATATCCATCTGACCAGAAATATTCTAAGAAAATGCCAACAAGACAACTCTGGTCAGTCTAGTTTATGGAACAAAACACATTTACAAAATAGTTTTATTTGCTATCCCATATTCTATCCCCAAATAGTTATAGATGGTGATGAAGACCACATGTTTCCTGTTCCAAAGCAATAACCCATAATCTAACAACATCAAGTTTTAAAGAGAATTTCTGTAACATTTAAATTCAATACATACTGGGATCTTTCTCCAAAATGCCAGCAAAATAACTGATGCTATAGCTATGGAAACATTGCTTGCCTTCAAGATATGTCTGTATACATTTTTTGTTTTGATTCACATTTCCAAACACGATATGGTCACATACATTGGTAATCCAGACTACAAGAAAATATATTTTAACTATATTAATTTATTTTAAGTAAAAATAAGTTCTAACCTGACCAAGTTCTTCATTAAGGTCTGATGTGTTAACCAGGGCTCCTTCATTAATTTCTTCATCATAAAAGTCTTTATCCCATGAAATAAAGAAGGAGCCCAAGAATTTCTGCATTTCTACTGTGACATACATGGAGACAGGAATGATAAAGTTGAACAGAACCATAAATGATAGGAAGTCGGTGAACATTTTCAAAACCTAAAACAACAAAAAAAAGTTTATGCTAATTAAATGTACTTCCATTAAACAAGTGTAATATAAAGAACTAGTTAAGTTTCTATCTTTTTATTTCGATGCTGAAAGCACTGTCTTGCTACACTGAAACAACTTCCCAAAGACACTATATCATTGGTCAAACTTATTATTACAGTATGTGAAAACACCCTTAATTTTGTCATTATTCTTGAGTGAATGTACCTTTTGACTCCATACTAGTACTTCTTCACTTCCTTATGTTGTGTGCTCCTCCTACCCCAAGCTAGGAATATAGAAGCAAAGTTTCTATGTAGGCATTTATTTTGCTCCTTGCATGATATATCACAAGCTCATACTGTATTTATATGCCAGCTTCTTGCCCAATTGTTCAAAACTCTGAAGTAAAGAGCTAAAACAAGCATAAATACCCAAATCAAAATAAAACAAAACTCTAAAACTTTTAAACCATGTAATGGCTTAGGGTTACCATACAACCAAGAGGAAACCCAGAAACCAACAAAACCATTATTTGAGCAGCATTTGAATCAAGGGTGGTGTGATAACAAGGTGCTAGTTAAAATTTTAAGCATAAAACATATTACCTTCAAAGTATCCCGCTCTTTCTGGGTCTTTTGGTTATACCAAGGTTCATCATTATATGGGGTATTTTGCCAAATATACTTTAGAATAGTGCATACTGCAGCTTTGGTCAGTAAGATAAATAAATACACAATCAAGAAGAGATTAATAGACCTGAAAAATAAGACATGGATTGAAAAACCATCTAATTACTTAAGATATCAACCAGGTATAACTTAAATCATCCAGTCTTCTAAAGCTTCTTCTGAGTATGATGTGTTACCACAGCACAAGCCTATATGTATGATTATCACTCTCAAGTGGTAAAATGGAAAAGCCAGTCCTGACCTGTTTGTTTATCACCAATGCTCCCCAAAGTGCAATGGCTGACTAGCTTAACACATATTTAATAAGGATCCTATAACGTGACAGGACACACACACGCAAAACACCATTACCTATTCATTGCTAATGGTGCAAACACACCATTACCTTATAGAAGGAGTAGGTTGTCTCTGTTTTCCTTAATCCTAAAGACTTGGAGTAGAGGGTGGGAAAGCAAGTGTGCAATCCTCAAGCTTAGTGCAGACTCTTTTAGTCAGAAAGTAGAGCTATGAAGAGGATACCACTGATGTACTGGATATCCATGCCAACAATAGCTAGGTCCATGCCAGTGGCAGACGGCTTGAAGGTCTACCAGGTACCACTTCAACATTTGCCTGGAGACTATGATCTATGTTGTAGAACCTCCTTACATATAGCAACTATAGGACCCCAAACCATTATCTAGAAGCAAAGGGAATAAATTTATATTTCAACCAAAATCTGCCTTGAATATCTATGTGAGCTTAGGTAAGTCACCTATCTCTGAGATGATTTCTGCATCTGTAAAGTGAACAGGATAATGGGAATTACTCCATACAGCTGCTTAGAGGATTACACCAAATCAGAAATACAAATCATTAAGCACAGTTTCTGGAACATAAAAAGTACTCAAAATGGTAGCTGCAATTATAACTGATGTTGTTTTTTCACTATGGTTCTTATTGTAATTACTGAGAAGTAACTACTTCAGTTCAATAACAACTAAAGAAACTGCAGTGCATACTAACTTTTCAACAGCAGAACGTTTTTGAGATTTCCCTTGGTAGTTCAAAGCCATTTTGGTTTCCATCCCAGTGTAAACAGCAACTCCTAAGGAATAACAGAATAAAATGAAAACTAAGTTACAACTAACTCCTCATCCAACTGGAACTATCGATTTTTTTTCATCCTATAAAAGCAGGAATTTTAAACCCTCTTCTATTCACCAGTTGCTATATCCTTGATAGCATAATTTTAATTATATATAATTTATTCATAATATTTCAAGGTAGTTTACCATCTTATAAATTCCCAACACCTAAAAATAGGCTTAGATTAAATGGCAGTATTTGCTGTTAAAATTTAATGCGCACTATTTATGCACAGGCTTATAAAGCATATTTCTGGTAGGTATGTCTTAAAAATTGCTCACCATATATCTTCTTGGTATTTTTCAGTGTAGCTCCTTTCAACAAGAGATTTTCAGGTCCCAAAGACCTAAATTAAAAATGAACACAGATTATCCAAACAGTCCAATAAATCGCACCATCAACTTTGGGGACATATTTTGCCCATACCTCTATGTCCTGGGTTCAGAATATATCTGTCTAATTATATCACATGCTTACTCCCCAGGACAACCTGAAAGACCCTTCCCTCTAAAGTTACTCCAGGGCACAACACAGTTAAAAGCACAGTACAGGAGTAGCCAGCAACACACAGAGGTAAAGAGATGCACAGAGAGATAAAAGGATTATGAGTCATAGAAAGACGTGAACAGGACAAAGCAGCAGACAGAAAGAGAATGTAACAGATAAAACACCAAGGTGGGAAAGACACACTGACATATTTATAGAGAGGAGAGTAAACCCGCCTTTGGGGGGATCATTGGGCAACTGGGCATTTCTTTTACTTCCTTTTGAGTATGGTATAAAGGCCAAATAGGAAAGTTGAGGTACTAAATGATAGAGGGGAAAAAAACCTTTTGTATATGAATTGCTGCATTAAAAATGATTAGCATTCCAGGTAATTCTCCCAGCTTTTATCCACTGCCCATACCCTCAATGACTCTCCCTTAAACCACTCACTGTTCTCAAGGTATATTTCCAATACTGTCTGCCACTGAACAACCTATGACAATAAATATAGTGTCTAGAAGAGATTTGGGAATTATCAAAGTGTCTGGAGCTCTGCAATTCTGGAAACCTTCAGCATTATTTCCAATACTATCCCTCTGCCCAGGACACACACAACTCAAAGACCCTACAACATAAGAGCTCCTACCAATTACAAGGTTGGTTACTTAAGACCAATTAGTGGGATACTGGATAGTTACTCCAGATTTATTCACCTTCAACCTCTTTTTATAAAAAAAAAATTTGGCTATTTTAATATCCTCCTCAAAGGACAGTTTAAAGGAATAGCAAACTAACCTTGCCTTGAGAGTATTACTATAGATACTGATTCGCCCAACAAACCTGCAAAAGAAGATAATAGCAAATGAGTTTTCTACATATAGGTAAATCTATATACCACAAAAATTGGAAATGGATCAAAATACAAATAATGCAAAAGAGAAGAGACTTTGAACTATGAATGTCTACTATATTTCTGAAAAAAACATGAAATAACAATAAGGTAACATTTTAATCTAATTCTTAAAATAATATTATAAGAATGTAAACAAATATACTAAATTGGTTTTCAAGATATTCTTGGCATTGTACATACACATAACACCAGTCTTATTTATACTTTATATAAATAATTGGCTTCTATTATTGATTCATGTGAAGAAAGATTTCTGGTGTTAACACAACTTTCAAAACTATTATTTATTTCACTAGTTCTTTCACTTTAGCATGCATTAGAATCATTGGAGGGCTTATTAAACTACAAATTTCTGGGACCCATCCCCAAGTTTCTGATTCAGGTGATAATTTACATTTTCAACTATTTCTCAGGTGATGCTGATACTGCTGGCCTGGTAACCCTTTGAGAACCACGGCATTAGTTTTAGACAGTAAACACTTGATTACCATCTTGGAAATTTCCAAATTGTTTTGAAGCTGATTTCATTACTGAGCTTGATCCAATCACTTAATATGGCTAGGTACATGTTAATCTGCATTTCTGAAAAAATGGGGTAAAAAAGGCCTAACCCCTTCTTAACAAATGTTGTGAATATTTTATAACTTGCAAATTTTTTTCAGAAAAAATGGAACGTATTATTACTGTGTTCCAAAATATGAATCTCTGGTAGTTCATTCATCATATTAATTGTACAAGTACTATGCAAGGTGCTGGAGATATACTAATAAGTAAGAAAAATATTACTTACCCTAAGATAGACAAATAAACAGGCAATTACAATACAAGTAAATTACCACTAGGGTAGTGAAAGCACAAGGTATTCTGGAGTCACATATCAAGGGCACTCAATCTAGTCTAGAGAATTAGCAATAACCTTCCCTGATCTAAAATTCTCCTTCATATTTAAGGTAACTGAAAATTGTAGGAGTTGCCCTATGAATATGCAAGGATGTATATTATTCTTTAACTCAAGCAGAATCAGTCACTCCCTTTTCTCTGATTCCATGGGCCTTTTATTCATCTCTATTATCTCACTGTACTATAAGCCTAGATTTACTGTTTTATCTCCTTTGCAAACTGTAAGCTAAGGCAGAGAACAGCTATTTTGCTTTGTGGACCTAGTTCTTAATATCAGCATGGATACAGAACAAGGGAAAGAGGAAAGAAGGACTGGTGGGAAGAAGCGAGAGGCATTGTTCTTGTAGTAGGATGGCTACTTTGTTTTTCCACTACCTGGTGTTAGTTTAAGCCACACCCAATCATCTGACCCATTATGACCAACAGAACTCATTAACTAGATGGCTGGAATAGGTAATGGATGCCATCTGTAATAGAATGAAATTAATTGACCAGCTTGGGGATAAAACCTGTTACTCTACCCTCATTGTCACCATGTTCTAATAAGCCAAACTGACCAATCTTAAAAATCAAATTCCAAATTTCTGACATCCCACTGTTAATCAGCAAAACTACTCCAGAAAACCTAAGCATAGTAAAATAGAGTACATTACACCATTTTATTACTTCCTCCGCTTATCTGTTTACTGTGGACAAAAAACAGCCTATTCACAATATGCAGTTCTAATGATAGAATGCCTACTAAATGCATGGCTCCATACCCTCTTCTTTCTTTGATATTGGAAAACAAATGAAGTGTTTTATTTTTGTTTTAGTTAACTCTGGTTAATGAGTAAGTTTGGTAGATTGGCCTTACGGGATAACATCATCTTAAAATTTGATGGACTGCCATGTTTACAAATAACAAGAATAAAAGAAAAATCACAAGTGAGATGCCTGGGCCCATATATTTTATCTTAGATTGGTAGTGAACAAGGCAGATATGATTTATTTCCATGCCAGAAGGAAGGAACAGCTCATAAAACAAAGGAAAGGAGGCTGGTAAGCGGTGGGTGTTTTTTTGCCATACTGGTGGTAAAGATAGGCAGAGCCAACAGACAGTAGTAAAATGAAACCAGGTGATGTTTACTTGTAGAGGTCAGGTTGTGGCTGTTCACATTCAATCGCTGCTCGGAGGGTATCAATGGATTCAGCTGTACATAGTTCAATGGTATCACGTACTGCATAATGTGTCTAGATGAAAGCAGAAGAAAAGGTAAAAACAAAAGTGTTTCTTTTTGTAATCATACACCCACCTGATTCCAGAAATGCAATATGTTTTAGTAAGAGGCTTTGGCAGAATAATACAAATATTGATGCACATTTACAACTAAAAATTATCCAAGGATATTACAAATAATCACTAAGCTATCCCTACTGCAAGGGGATTCCAAAGTTAATGAAAAAAAGCTTTTCTTGATATTGACAGCACAGAGAATTTCATTTGCAGCATGCATATAATTAACTGAAAATCCTATAAAATATAATGCATTTGCTTTTACTGAGACCTATTATTTTGCTCACCATAGTGTATAGTGATGTAAATATACACATATGAATTGAACATAGCCCTTTTGGTCATAAGACTGCTAACATCTTGCCAACAGAAAGAAAAAAATCATTAATAGTTGTATTACACAAATAGTATAATTAATGACCTTGAAAATGCTCAAAGTGGCTACATTTCATATGAGTAGCAGGGAGATGATGTGTCTTGCTTGAGTTAGACAGAATATTCTACTAGTGTATATTATATGCTTGATTTACCCAGAACTCAAGGCAGGCTCCAGCGAACCCATTTATTTTATTTTTGAAAAATATATTTTTATTGATTTCAGAGAGGAAGGGAGAGGGAGAGATAGAAACATCAATGATAAGAGAGAACCATTGATTAGCTGCCTCCTGCATGCCCCGTACCAGGGATCGAGCCCGCAACCCTGGCATATGCCCTTGACCAGAATCAAACCCAGGACCCTTCATTCAGCAGGCCAACGCTCTATCCACTGAGACAAACCAGCTAGGGCCCATTTATAAATCATCAAAGAAAGGCTGACACAGACTCAAGACTGTACTACTTACCCAGAAGGAAAGCTGTTGCATGGTCTTTGGGAAACAATACGGAACTACCTGAGCTAGATTTAAAACTATCTCCTGACTTTGAAAAACCTATGTACTTTTATTTAACTAACTTATTTTTAAATATATTTTTATTGTTTACTTTTAGAGAGAGAGGGAAGGAGAGAGAGAGAGAGAGAGAGAGAGAGAGAGAGACATTGATTGGCTGCCTCCTACCACACCCTACTGGGAATCGAGCCTGCAACCTGGGCCAGGAATTGAACCAGTGACCTTTTGGTACATGGGATGATACTGAGCCACAATGGCCAGGGTGAAAACCCATGTTTTGACTGAATCAACTTAACAACTTTTTCCCTTATTAGGGAATCTTTAGGTAGATGTCTTCATTTTTTACCTTGACATTCCCTCAAATATAACTTTGTTTTTGAATAGTTTAAATTGGACTAGTTTATCACCATACCCTAAAGCAGCAGTCGCCAACCAGTGGTCCGAAGACCACTGGCGGTCCGTGAGGTCCAAAAGGTTGGCGATCGCTGCCCTAAAGCACAGAACATAGTCATCTAAGGCATTTAAGTTCCTTTTTCACATACTGAGTCCTGGTCCTCAACTCCAGATGGAATAAACAAGCAGAGAAAAGCCCTCAAGGATACACACAGAGGTGAGCACATATCCTTCCTTAAAGGTAGCATAAAGAAGATACATCTTGCCAAAACCGGTTTGGCTCGGTGGATAGAGCGTCGGCCTGCGGACTGAAGGGTCCCAGGTTCGATTCTGGTCAAGGGCATATACCTGGGTTGCGAGCACATCCCCAGTAGGGGATGTGCAGGAGGCAGCTGATTGATGTTTCTCTCTCATCGATGTTTCTGACTCTCTATCTCTCTCCCTTCCTCTCTGTAAAAAATCAATAAAATATATTTAAAAAAAAAGAAGATACATCTTCATGCCTTATAGAATTCTGGACAGTGGCCAAGAACTGACTGTGTCAGAAAGTACCAGGGAAGTAATTTATCTCCAGTTTGAGCAAATTTACTTTAACAGATTTATAATTCTTCCTAGTTGCAATAAAGCAAATATTTGCCAAACTACACCCTAAGGCATTGTTTTAAAAGCAATCAAATTATTCCAGATTACATTTTCTATATGCCAGGAATAAACATTTTTAAAGAAAATATTCATCAATTTTTAAATAAAGAGATCAAACTGTAAGGTGAGAGTACTTGATATTATTTTTATAGTTACACTAGAGGCCCAGTGCACAAAAATGTGTGCACTCGGGGGGGGGGGTCCCTCAACCCAGCCTATGCCCTCTTGCAGTCTGGGACCCCTTGGAAGATGTCCACCTCCTGGCTTAGGCCCGCTCTCTGGGGGATCAGGCCCAAGCTGGCAGTCAGACATCCCTCTGGCAGCCCGGCAGCCCTTGGGGTATGTCCACTTACCAGCAGGGAGAAGACCTAAGCTGCAGTTGGACATCCTTAGTGCTGCTGAGGAGGTGGGAGAGGCTCCCGCCACCACCGCTGTGTTGGCAGCCATCAGCCTGGCTTGTGGCTGAGCAGAGCTCCCCCTGTGGGAGTGCACTGACCACCCGGGGACGGCTCCTGCATTGAGCATCTACCCCCTGGTGGTCAGTGTGTGTCATAGTGACCAGTCATTCCCAGTTGTTCTGCTGTTAGGGTCAATTTGCATATTGCCCTTTTATTATATAGGCTAGAGGCCTGGTGCATGGGTGGGGGCCAGCTGGTTTGTCCTGAAGGATGTCCCGGATCAGGGTTGGGGTCCCGCTGGGGTGCCTGGCCAGCCTGGGTGAGGGGCTGATGGCTGTTTGCAGGCTGGTCACACCCCCTTCAGGGTGGGGGTCCCCACTGGGATGCCTGGCCAGCCTGGGTGAGGGGCTAAGGGCCGTTTTCAGAATGGCCAAGCCCCCCGGTGACGGAAGCTCCCAGCCTCTCCTTTTTTTCTTTTTTTTTTTTATTCTGGGATTTATTTACCTTCTATAATTGAAACTTTGTAGTCTTGAGTGGAGCTCAGAGCCGGCCAGGTCGGGCGGGAAGCTTGGCTTCCTCCATCGCCAGGGGCAACCCAAGCCTCCTGCTCACTCCAGGTCCATGGCCATGGCCGGCTGAAAGCAGGTATCTGGGGTTTATTTATCTTCTATAATTGAAACTTTGTTGCCTTGAGTGGAGCTTAGAGCCAGCTGCGGCAGGTGGGAAGCTTGGCTTCCTCCATCACTGGGGCAACCAAGCCTCCTGCTTGCTCCAGCTCCTTGGCTGCCGGCCGCCATCTTGGTTGGGTTAATTTGCATATAGTTGCTCTGATTGGTTGGTGGGCATGGCTTAAGGCATAGCGAAGGTATGGTAAATTTGCATGTTTGTCTTTTATTAGTGTTGATACTTTCAGCCTATGATTACTCTCATTTTAAAAAGCCTCAATAAAATATTAAGTGGGTTATATCAATATTTTTATATACTACTAACTGCTTGCAGCTAGTAGTATATAAAAAATGTGGTGGCGCCCGGCTGGCATGGCCTAGTGGTTGAGCATCAACCTATGATCCAGGAGGTCATGGTTCAATTCCCAGTCAGGGCATATGCCTGGGTTGTGGGCTCGATCCCCAGTGTGGGGTGTGTAGGAGGCAGCCAATCAATGATTCTCTCCCATCATTGATGTTTCTATCTCTCTCTGAAATCAATAATATATATATAAATATGGTGGCTTTTACTTGGGACATGGATTTTCTTCACCCAATACCACCCTTTTCCCCAAAGTTGAGAATTTTCTTAGAAGTTCAAGGATAACTACATAAAAGCTGTCTTCAAATACAAAATGTACACAAATAAGATAAAATAAGATAAAAGATTAGGGGAGTTGGAAGGAGTATTTATTGATGAACTATTCTGAGCTTAAAATGTATAAGCGAGGTTTACTCTTCATTACCTTGCAATTGGATTCCCCATCAAGACTGGCTGTAGTAACATAACAGGTTCCATCACTAGTGCAGGATGATAGAAGAATAAGATCACAGGGAAAAGTTTCATCTGCCTGTACTTCTACTACATCACCAACCTAGAGTGGAGGAAAAAACAAATATAAATATTCTTAATTCCAATCAAAGCATTCATTATATTACAAACTAAAGTCAAAACAGTAGCAAGAGACTTCTCCTGTCCTGGGGCTTAGAGAGTATCTCAGCATCCTATACCACGTGAAAGGTGATAAAAGAATATTACTGAACATTCAGAATTCTCTTTAAGGTCATGAGGACTTGTGATGCTTTCAGATTACCCTAGTAGTGAAATTTAATCTCTAATGAATGACTTCAGCACCCAAGGACCTGTTTGCTCTCTGACATTTCTGGCACTGATGTTTGATAAGACATTTCTGGCACTTCATGAATGAATCAAGAAAATCTACATGTCTCAACTTGAGAACTTCATGAACCCTGGGCAATCACACTTCTACTCTGCATCATGCATATTTTAATATATTTTGCATTCAGTGTGATAATAGCTATTATTGTTGGGTGTTAATTCCTTCTTCAGTGCTCAGAAAACCTCAGTTAATTATAGGCACCTATTTTTTTCCCCATAACATTTAAAAAAAAATTCAAATAGGTCATTTCCCAACAATTCATCTGCTATTAGAAGAATCAATTAATATGGCAATGAAAAACAACTTCCTATGTGCAAGTGCCCCAAGCTCAAATAGAAGAAAAAGATGAGAGAAGAAATAATGAACCATTTCTACTGCAGATAATTTAACAATGTAGGGAATAAGTCATAATGGTTAAATAGGTAGGACTTTCTAACCTGACTTTATGCCCCAGCTTTGCCACTTTATAACTATATGACCTTGGGTAAGTGCCCTAGATGATTGCAACTACCTTGTAGGACCGGTCTGAGCGTGAAACGAGGACAAAGGTAGTGTTTTGCAAACTCCCGGCATACAGTCACCATCTGATAGGTATTAATTGTAATTATTACTAATACCCTGCAACTAATTTCTTCCCAACTTTTTTTTGTGTGTGTAGGAAATCATCAGTCCAGCACTTCCCAACATTTTTCATACCGTGGAACATACAGAAAAGATTTTTATACAGCAACCTCAGATTAAGGGTGGAGGCTGCTAGTGGCAGAAGATGACCCACTTATGAGATAGTCAATATCTGGCACAACAACCAAGACACAGTGGTTGTGAAACAATGAACCAATAACTAGCACATCTGCCTCTTATTTCCTACACAATTTGGCAGATAAAGATGAGGACCTACTTGGGAACAATTTCATTTTCTTTGCCAATCTTCATCAGTTGCCAAGAGCAACAGCATCAATAATTGAACTAATTTGTAAATAGCATTTGATTTGTTAGATCTATCCTTCTTCAATTACATAAACTTATGTAGCTTACATAAAACCACAGTTGATGCTTAAATAAACAAAACAAAAAAATGAAACCCTAAAGCATGTTAGAAGGAGGAAACATTCAAAGGGTTGAAGGTGATTCTCAGGCACTGAAAAATAAAAACCACAAATAGAGAATTTCTTCTACAACATTTAGGATTTGCTTAGATATTAACTATCAAGGTCCCTGTATCTGGAGTGCAAGTTGAGGCTTGGCGAGATGGATATGGGCCAGATCTCAAAGGTCCTGGCAGGCCAGGCTAGTGGGTTAGGGCTCACCTTTAAGGCAAAGGGGAACTGGGAAAAGACATTTAAAGAAAGAGAACAACATGGTCCAGTTAGACAATCAACTCTGGAGTTCTGGTAACATTTAGCAAGTTCAAAGCCAGAAGAGAGCATCACTATCCCTCAACATAAATATTAGAAAACCTACAAAATCATAATTTTTGTAGTTCATCAGAGAGCTGAGGTTGCAAAGCAACCAAGTGAACTGAATTTCAAAGTATGAAAAGTCCCTCTGAGGAGAGACAACTGTTTCACATTTGTCAAAGCACAGGATGAAGAGATGGCCAACAAAACTTGCATAAGAAGAAAACAACTGGATTTTAAACCAATTCTAAAAGGCTTGGTAGGAGCTAACACATTAGAATCTCTGCAAGCCTGATAGAAAAGAAGAGATCTACAAGCATCTGTTGGGTGCTCATGAGAAAGCAAGAGGGTGGGAGACCTAAAAGAGCCTTCCTCACTGGTACAGGCATACAGGTTGTGATTAACTGTATGTCAGAATCGTGGACCCTTTTCTCATTTGAGGTAAAAGCCATCTGTGTCTAGGAGAAAGGAAAGAAACCCTCCTTGGCATATATCAGAAAAATGTCACTACTGCTAGAGGATATAGAAGCAAAGCCATCTGCTGTTGGGGATGGGATAGAAAACTCACTATACCGAGGACTTAGCATTGATAAAAGGCAAAGTTCAGCTTCCATGGGAGGTGGGGTGGGAGTATTGAGAAAGTTCCACCCTGAGGTAAAGGTACATCAGGCCTGCCTATCACTGAGAGTAGAGCATGAGATACAAGAAATCACTCTGTTCCAAACAGGAGCCTTGTAATGAATAACGAGAAACAGCAATCTACCACTGGGGGAGGAGAAAGGACAGAGAGAGAAGCATCCACTGTATCTCAGGGATGTAGCACCTGCAGAGAGGGTGGAACAGGAGCACTGAGAAAAACACTTTGGAGCCCCAGGCCCCCCACAAAGCAAGAGGCAATGGCAATCCAGCACTCCAGGAATTTGAAGTCCAGTGGTGTACTGAAATATCAATAGCTACAAACAAAAACCAAAGCCAGCCCAACTCCTGACTAGATTGATGCAACTCCCAACACTATGGGCTGACAGAAGAGGCCTGCTCTGTTCAGAATATAAATACTTTCTACCTAGGACTTCAGCATTTTTTATATACAATGTCCAAAATTCAATTTTAAAAAATGAGACAAAATATAAGACAAAAATGACCTATCATGAAGAGATAAAAGAGTCAACAGGGCCAGCCCCAGAAATGTTCGGATTTTGAAATTATGAAACAGGGATGTAAAAATAGCTATGATTAAGATTTTAAAGTACCTAGTGGAAAAGGTAGACAACATACATGTACAGATGAAGAACTTGGATAGACAGATGGAAACTACAAAAAAAAATATAGCAAATGGGGAAATTAGAAATGAAAAACATGATACTATAAAGATGTCCTTTATGGGGGGGATGGGGGGTAATGTGGGGATAAGGACACATATGTAATAACTTAATCAATAAAAAATTAAAAAAGATGTCCTTTAATGGGCTTATCAATAGACTAGATACAACAAAGGAAATAATCAGTAAATCTAAAGAAACTCTTCCAATATTTCTAATGCCAAAATCCATATTCTTTCCCTTACAATATTATTTTAATATATTTTGTTGATTTTTTACAGAGAAGAAGGGTGAGGGATAGAGAGTTAGAAACATCAATGAGAGAGAAAGATCGATCAGCTGCCTCCTGCACACTCCCTACTAGGTATGTGCCCGCAACCAAGGTACATGCCCTTGACCGGAATCGAACCCGGGACCCTTGAGTCTGCAGGCCGACGCTCTATCCACTGAGCCAAACCGGTTAGGGCTCCCTTACAATATTTTTTTTACATTTGAATTCTACAATTTCTGTTTCTAGGATCTCTATGTGCTATGTGATTCCATCCAGTCTCATGGCTTCATATGCCATCTACATGCTGATAAAATCAAAATTTCTATTTCCACTTAAAACATCTCTGAGCTCTAGTCTTGACAATTCCATCCAGATGTCTAACAGGTATCTCAACATTAACATGGCCCAAACTGAATTTTTAATTTCCTTTCACTCCCATCTGTCCCTAAACCTGCTCTTCTCCATTTTATTTAATAGCACCACCATTTTTTCAATAGTATTATTTAATGCATCCAGTTGCTCAGGCCAAAACCAAGAAGGCTATCTTTATTCTTTTTTTTTTTTTTTGCTGTCTCACTCCCTACATCCAATATATCACTAGATCCTGATGTCCACTAGTTGTGGAAAAGTTTGTTAATATCCTTCTGCCTCAGTTTCATCACTTTTAAAGAGGAGACAATAATACCAAAAAAACACACATATCCTACCTCATAGGACTGTTATGAATTAAGGATTAAATAAGTTAATATAAAGTAAAAGGGAATGCCTGGTATATTTATGTAATATATAAATGTTAACTACTATCTTTATTATCATTATCTCTACTACCATCACCCTAATATCAACTCTTACCATGTTTTGCAGTAGCCATCTAACGGGTTTCCCTAATTCCACTTTGCCAATCTCCAGAGTTGTCTTTTTTTTTTAAAGATCAAGTCACTCCCTTATTTTAAAACCCTTCAAAGAATCCCCATTGCACTGCGGATATGGACCAAGTCACTCTCCTGCTCAACAATTAAACATTGACACATTTGGTTTATAAACATCTCTTTACACATACAAATACTCCAGAAAAAGCTCAATCAAATAATCAAATAGCATTTCACACAACAGCATCAAATTATTTAATTAAGATTATACCAGGATGAGGTAAGCCTTAAGGTAATAAAGTCTAGTGAAGGAAAGATGGAATATGGGGGTCTTTCTAAGGGAATGGGGGTAATAGCAAAATCAGAAAGAGGAAATAGGAGAAAGAAAGATGAATGGGAGACTTTTACTACATGTCTTGTGAGCCACAGATTTAATTTTATGAAACATTTAGGATGCTTTGGTTCTTATGCTGAACAGTAATGCCGAGTTTCTACAACTGGTTTAGAAAATTCAGATCCTAACTACTCTAGTTCATCACAGGGTCATCCCCTCTGGGATGCAGAGAATGGAGGGGGAAAAAAGAGTAAAAGAAAGACATTCTATGTCAAACTCAGGTAACCCTCCTATGTGGTAACCTTTGTCCCATCATTACTATAAGATGCAAGACAATTTACCTATCACTAGGGATATGGAGAACTTATGTCCAGACATTCTAGGTATTTAATAAATGATTCATCAGTGATAACTTTTGACTATATTCCCTATGCTGTACTTTACATCCCCATGACTATTTTGTAACTACCAATTTGTACTTCTTAATCCCTTCACCTCTTTTACCCAGTCCCTCAATCAAACTTCCCTATGGTATCCACCAGTCTGCTCTCTGTGTCTATGAGTCTGTTTTAATATTGTCTATTCATATGGTTAGTTCTTTAGGTTCCATGTATAAGTGAAATCATATGGTATTTTTTCTGACTGACTTATTTCACTTAGCATAATACCTTCTAGGTCTATCCAAGCTGTCGCAAATGTTAAAATTTTGTTCTCTTTATAGCTGAGGAATATTCCATTGTATATATGCACCACCATTTCTTTATCTACTCACTTATTAATGGACACTTGGATTGGTTCCATATCTTTACTAATATAAATAACACTGTAATGAACATAGGGGTCCATATATTCTTCTGAATTAGTGTTTTGGGCTTCTTCAGATATGTACCCAAAAGTGGAATTGTTGGGTCACAAGGCAGTTCCATTTTTAATTTTTTTAATAACCTCCATACTGGTTTCTATAGTGGGTGCACCAACCTGCATTCCTACCAACAGTGCATAAGAGTTCCATTTTCTCCACATTTTCGCCAACACTTGTTTGTTGATTTATTGTTGATGGCCATTCTGAAGGTGTGAGGTGGTATCTCATTGTGTGCCACAACTTTTTTATACACTCATCAATGGGCAAGTGGGTTGCATCCATATCTTGTTAAAACAGGATCTTGAAGAGTTATTTGTACATGTGTGTTCATAATAGCATTATTCTCATAACCAAGAGGTAGAAGCAACCCCAAATGTCCATCAACAGATGAACTAATAAACTGTGCTATATGCATACAATCAGATATTATGTAGCCTTAAGAAGGAGAAAATCGTGTCATATGCTACCACATGGATGAAGCTTGAAGACATTATCCTTAAGTGAAATAAGCCAGTCAGAAGAGGATAAATATTGTATGATCCCACTTATAGGAAGTATCTCCCTAAAGTAGTCAATCATAAAAACAGAAAATAGAAAGGTGTTTACCAAAGGATGGAGGAAGGAGGAATTAGTGTTTAGTGGTTACAGAGTTTTAGTGTTATAGGATGAAAAGGTTTTAGAGATTTGTTTCTCTACAATGTGAATGTACTTAATACTATTGAACCGTACACTTAAAATGGTTACAATGGTAAATTTGATGTGTTCTTTATTGTAATAACAAAATTTACATTTAAAAAATAACACCTTGAAACTAGGATAAAATATTTGTAAAAAGCACATCTGATAAAGGCCTGCTATCCAAAATATACAAAAATTGTTAAAACTCACCAATAAGAAAATGAACAATCTGACTTAAAAATGGGCAAAACACCTAAAAATTCACCTCACCAAAGAAGATATTAAGATGACAAGTAAGTATATGAAAAGATGTTCAACAACATATGTCATTAGAGAATTGAAAATTAAAACAAAAGTAAGATTCCACTACACACCTTTTAGAATTGTCAAAATCCACAAGACTGACAACAAATGCTGATGTGGAAAAACAGGAATTCTCATTCAGTGCTGATGAGAATGCAAAATGGAATAGCCACTTTGAAGATAGTTTGGCAGTTTCTTATAAGATTAAACAAGCTCTTAATATACAATCCAGTAGTCACACTTGGTATTTACCCAAATGAACTAAAATCTTATGTACACACAAAAACCTGCACATAGATGTTTATAGCAGCTTTATTCATAATTGCCAAAACTTGGAAGCAAACAAGATGTCCTTCAGTAAATGAATAGATAAATAAACTACTACATATAGACAATGAAGTATTATTTAGCACTAAAGAAAAATGAACTCTCAAGCCATGAAAAGACATGAAGGAAACATAAATGCATATTACTAAGTGAAAGAAGCCAATATGAAAAGGCTACATACTGTATGATTCTAACTATATGAAATTATGGTAAAGGCAAAACTATGGAGACAGTAAAAAGATTAGTGGTGGTTCCAGGTTGAAGGAAGGGAGGGAGAGATGAATAGGCAGAGCACAGAGGATGTTCAGGACAGTTTAACAATTCAGTATGATAATATAATGGTGGATACATGTCATTTATACATTTGTTCAGGTACACAGAATGTACAACACCAAGAGTGAACCCTAATAATGTAAACTATAAGCTTTGAATAATAATGATATGTCAATGTAGGTTCATTGATCGTAACAAATGTACCAATCTGGTAGGGGATATTGGTAACAAGGGAGGTTGTACCTGTGGGGAAACAAGGTATATGTGAACTCTGTAGTTTCTGCTGTTTTGCTGTGAACCTAAGACTGCTCTAAAAAGTAAAGTTAATTATTAATTAAAATAAAATCTGTTGGCAACAAAATATCTTATACATTGCTGGTAGAATGTAAAATGGTAAAAACTGCTGTGGAAAACAATTTGTAATTCATGAAAAATTTAAACATAGAATTATTGTATCACCTAGCAATTCTACTCCTAGGTATATACCCAAAAGATTTGAAAACAGGTGTTCAAACAAAATCTTGTACATGAAATGTTTGTAACAGCAATACTCATAATAGCCAAAAGATGGGGGAAAAAACTAACTTCCATCAACTTATTAATGAATAAACAAACTGTGGTATAATCATAAAATAAAATGTTATTCAGCTATAAAAACTAATAAAGTATTAATACATACTACAACATGAATGAACCTCGGGAATATTACATTAAGTGAGAAGCCAGACACAAAAGGACACACAGTGTATGATTCCTTTCATATGAAATATCTAGAATAGGTAAATTCATAGAAATAGAAAGAAGATTAGTGGTTGCCAGGGACTGGGGGAGAGAGGAATGAAGCATGATTGTTTAATGGCTTATGGGGGTTTCCTTTTGGGGTGATGAAAATGTTCTGGAATTAGACAGTGTCAGTGGTTGCACAACACTGTGAATGCACTAAATGCCACTGAATCAATTGTCCATTTAAAAATGGTGTGCAGCCCTGGCCGGTGTGACTGAACTGGTTGGAGTGTTGTCCCACGCACTAAAGGGCCGTGATTCAGTTCCTGGTCAGAGTACATACCTAGGTTGCAGGAGGAAACCAGTGAATGTTTCTCTCTCTCTCTCTCTCTCTCTCTCTCTCTCTCTCTCTCTCTCTCTCTCTCAAACCAATGAAACCTTGTCCTTGGGTAAGAATTTTTAAAAAGTATATTTTTATCATAATAAAGAAGCATAAAGAAAAAAAGGTGTATTTTTTTACCATAATCAAGAATAAACAAAAATTAATACCTTGATCTTTTCACTCTCTTTTCTAACTCGCTTTGCATTTTCAATAATGTAAACATGTCTCTTGTTGACTTCATTGTCAGCTCTGTGTCTCAGCCAATCCTCATATCCCTAGAAGGATAAAAAAACAACAAAACTATACAATCAAGTTCATATAATGAATTAAATTTCTATAACCCCCTCCATGAGTTACCAGCATAAATTTATACTTACAGTATTATATATATATATATATATATATATATATATATATATATATATATGCCTAAGCAACTGTTTGACCGGAAGCTATGATGCGCACTGACCACCAGGGGGCAGACAGTCAATGCACAGGCATGGAAACATGGAACAGACTGATGAATCTCAGAGGGAAGGGGGGAGGGAGTAGGGTGGGAAGAAATTAACCAAAGATCTTATATGATTTGAGGAAGGTTGAACAGCTTTTTATATATTTACTAGAGGCCCAGTGCACGGATCTGTGCACCGGTGGAGTCCCTGGGCCTGGCCTGCGGGGATCAGGCCAAAACCGGCTCTCCGACCTCCCCTGTGAGGGGTCCTGGATTGCGAGAGGGCTCAGGCCAGGCCGAGGGACCCCACTGGTGCATGAATCCATGCACCGTACCTTTAGTTTCAAAATATATTGCTAAAGAGACATTACATTTTTATAGAAAAACTAAGATACGCTTTCAAAATATCCCTTAGGTAAATAGCTTTATTGTATTAAAAGGTTCTACCATTCAACATTTAAGTATTAATGAAAACACAAGCATTAGAGCCTTAATATTCTTCAACTGAAGGACTATGATCTGTTCTTTTAATTCTACTCTTATTCAAGTTAATGTTGATCTTTCTACTTTTGAATTTGAAAAAAAACATTTCTGGGTATTATTTTCTTACAGACTTAACCACTTAAATATATTCTTCTGTAGTAGACCATTGGAGTGATCATCTCTGAGGAAACTGAAATCCTCCCAGGGACAGAATAGAAAAGGCAAGCTAGGGTTATTTTGGCAGAGAATCTATGATAAGTTTTAGAGATCAATAGTTAAACTACACTGACTTGGTGGTAAAAGAAAATATAAATTGGTGTTCGTTTTTTAGAATTAGAAGTAATCAGGGAAAGGTCTAATGGCTCATTTTTCTTTGGGCTTTTTGTCTGGAATATATTTAAGGCAAAAGAAACAAGGCGAGAGGATGTTCATTTGTTCGAGTACAACCTCCTCTCCTGTTTTTTACAATACTTTCCTTTTTTTCTTTATAATTATATTTGTACCTTTTCAAATATAACTGTTTGAAAAATACCTTGACTGCTTCCCCCTTTTTTTTCTCAGTTGCTATATTCATTCCAATTCTGTCTCTCTTTATGACTATGCTAGGCTATCATTTCAGTGAGGAAAGAAAGGTCCTAATATGAACTAGTATTGGAATTAAAATGAATCAGTAAGAGCTTTTGAAACCATACAGGATATTTTGGGAAGCAACAATTATATGATGTTAAAGAAAATAATCTTAACAGCTTAAGGGAAAGAACATTTCAAAAGTCTTGATTTAGTAACCAAGAACTTGATAAAATATTCTTGTAGTTCCTGTTAGGCAAGATAGAAGACCAGATAACCCCAGGAGGAAACATAACCTTATTCCCAATACTGTTAAGCAGACTTTTAATTTGGAAGTTCTTTTGAGACACTGTTAAAAGCACTTGATAAGTACTATGTAAAAGTATGTTTGTAATTAGCCTGGTTTTGTGGCTAATTATGTGATACGAATTGCTAACCTATCCCTTTTCCTCCACTTTCTGTCCATTTTCAATTTCATCCGGAATGCTCAAAATACTTCAAAGACATTGTAACTGTGCAGAAACTTCATTTCTTTAGTATAACCTTTTCTCTTTTCTTTCCTTTTGATTCAAACTGGCCTTGCCCAGAACCCTGACTCACCTGCCTCCTTCTCCCTTGCATGTCCACTTCCTGAATCATTAAGCCCTCAGGACAATGAGGTTCAAATAATCTTAGGAACAAAGCCTCTGGTCTGTTGACCACAGAAACAGAGTTTTGATCAGGTCAAAGTAGAGATAATATCTAATCTTCAGTTATGTTTCAGCTCCAGGCCCAGTAAAGCAGCAAAACCAGATGCACTGATCAACCACTCCCTACTCTAGTGCTGACCAATCAATAGAGACCACGACCCTAACTCCCTTAGTCACCATAACTAATGATTTTCCCCCCTATACAACCATTCCCTGGAAGCCATTGGGGAGTTAGGTCTCTGAGTATTACCTCACCTATGACTTCAGGCCTGGGCCACCATCTAAAAATAAATTCTTATTTTCTTTGCTGCAAACCCCTGTTAATGTCTTACTGGGCTTTGATGCACACAGGCAAAGGGACCCGTTTAGTCCAGTGACAACATCATAGAAACACTACATCTACCCTGGAATGACCACCTCCAGATTTCTTTCATGTGACAGAAATGTATTTAAGATATGTTTTTGAGAAGTTTCTGTTATTGGAGGTGAATAACTTTTCTGATACATACTAGTGTAAGTTCTCAGTTCAAATATTTTTTGTTTCTTTCATAGCATTTCTTGACATTTTTAAATTATGTCTTTGTGGTTTTGTTGTTATTGTTTGTGTTCCCTACTATAATGTCAACTCTATGACTACAGAGACTGTGTCTGTTTAGTATACCACAACACTAACTTCCTTTGTCACCATGATTGATGATTTTGTCCCTATAAAACCCATCCTCTGGAAGCCATTGGGGAGTCAGGTCTTTGAGCATTAGCTCATCTATGATTCCCCCTGGCAGGCTACTTACTAAAAATAAACCCTTACTTTTTTTGACTGCAAGCTCCTGTTCCAGTTTTATTGGGCTTTGACACATACAGGCAAACGGACTCCTTTAGCCCCTTTAGTCCAGTATCAACATCAGCATTACAAACCATGGCAGCTGTCAGCTTTGACAAGACAATAAAAGTCTCCTCCACCTACCACCCCCTTCAGCACCATCAGGAAAGACAACAAAATTAAAGTATTTATGCTCTTGTGTTATCTACCATAGGCAAACAAGCAAAAAAGTCCACTAGATTGGAAATGTTTCAAATAGACATACCACAATGAAAAAAATTAATGCACATTAACATTTTGCCTCCCACTTCCTGACTTGGATAATATTCTCACACAAAAAAATTGAGAAAGAAAGGAGCATGAATATTAACGATGTATTTTACAATCATTTTAAGAGATTTTCAATAAGAACCAAATATAAATTAAACCCCTCAGATATAGTGTCCACTCTATATAAATATGAAAGAGAACCCTTGACAATGAAATTCAAACTAGACAGAAATAAAATGCAGACATAAATGTAAATAATAAATTTACCTGCTTGATGGCTGTAACAGTTATAACAAAGAAAAGTGGAAGTCCACTGGTAACTGGGCTAGTTGGTGTATCTACTGTGACCTAGGTAAATAAATTAAATTGAAAGTAAAATAAAAATAGTCAATAACTTATATGCAGTCTGTACATGCTGAAAAAATTTCAGAAAGAATGCAGACAAAACTTATTCTGGTAGCAGGGTGAATGTTAACTTTCATTAAAACAAAAGCAATCCACACAGCAGTTAGTTTAAAAAAATACTTCTAAATCAGGTTTAGTTTTCATCACAGGTTGAATTAACCCTTTTATTGAAATACATCCATTCATTTACCATCTATTTGTTGAGCACCATTCTGTCAGTCCCTGAACTATTATCAGCCAGGCTCTAGAGATGCTGCTTTAAACAGATGGAGAAAAGTCCCTGACCACATACAGCTGGCAGCTTACAGGGAAAACCAGGTATTAAAAAAATACCTTGAGACCTGAAGAGTAAACAGAAGTTAACTAGATGAAAGAAGGGTGCTTTCCAGGAGCAGTAAACAGTGTACTCAAAGCCTCTATGGTAGGAGGGAGTGTTATACAGGTAATGAAATAAAGGGAGCCAGTAACAAAAGCATGTGGTGTGAGACGGGGCTGGAGAGGGAGACGGGCCAGACCAAGCAGGGCCCTCTATGCTAGAATTCATTCTTTATCCCACAAACAGTGGGAAATAATTGAAGCTTTTAACCAGGGAGAGTTCACATAAAGAGAACTACATTTTGAAAAGATTTTCACTGCATTGTGGAAAATAAAATGTAAGGGAACAAGAATGGAGGCAGGGATTCCATTTAGGAAGCTACTGTTCTAATCCAGATAAAAGATCATGGCTTGGATGAGGGGAGTAGCAGCAGCAATGGAAAGATGTTCCAGAGATATTTAGGAGGCAAAAATGGCATGACTAATAAGGAATTTCTTGTAAGGGGTAATTAAAGATGTCTTCCAAGTATTTGGTTAACATGGCTGGTTGATGTTGTCATTCACTGAAATAGGAAACATTGAAAGAGAATGAGAACTAGATTTGAGTGACAGAGGACCATGAGTTCCATCTGCCCTCACAATTCATTGACTCTCATCTCTAACCCCCACACAGACCTGCCCCTGCCACACACACTGTGTTGCAGACGCAGGCTTTTACATGGCTCTGTGTCTTCACACAGACTGATACCAGTCTCTAATCCTTCAAGGCTCAGTTCAGATATCACCTACTCTTTGAAGCCTTTTCAAGCTCCTCTTGGGTAGAAAAAAAATCTTAACTTCTACCATATCCCCATAACATTTTGCTAATGCTACTTTTATGACTTTTACTATATTAAATTAAGTGAATACATGACTAGTTTTGGCTATACATAAATTCCTTCAGGATAGAAAAGCCGTATCTTCATTGCACCTGCTAAAATCTTTGTTGTCTGGCACATAAGAGGTGCTTGCTATATGTTCACTAAATTGAACTGAGATGCGCTGTAAGCCAAGTGGAATGATTCGTGTTCATAATCCTCTATGTAGTTTATTTTATGCTGGTCTGTAAGACATCTTACCATGGATGTAGGGGAGCCCCTTTTAAAGTGCCCCATCATTCAAAATTGAAATTGGCTCTTTCCCATATCACAAACCAGATTGGTTTTAAGTAGCAGGGCCAAATTAAATTACAGTACCATTTACTCAAAAACTTAAAGTGGATAAACAGAAGCACTTAATACCAATAAGGCATTTCAACAATTTCATTGAAATGTTTCTGCTTTGTTTTAGGAAAATGAAGTGAGGGGGGAAAGTACCTTTAATGTAGTAAAATTTTCAGTGGTTGATTTTGGCAAGGGAAAGATTTTAATAACTTACAGACTTAAAATGGAAGATGCAATTTAAAATGTATAAATACTAGGCTTTCACCCTTAAAGTAAATGAATGAAGTGCATAACTAATAATCAGGAAGATAAGTGATACACTTTCCATTAAGCTGAAATTAGTGTTTAATAAAGTAAACTATTAACCTAAACTATTTTCAATTTTGATATATACCAATGCATTTAATGGTATATAATACATGTGCTTCAAGTGTGAACAAAAATATGAAATCCATAAAAGTTTTTTTAAAAATAACAGCTGCAACAAGTTTTCCAGTGAAAGTGCTACTTTAGAAATATATAAAATAATATAAACCTTAATATGTAATATCGGTACTTTCAAAAGTATTATTATAATAAGCCCTGAAACATCTTTTTAATCACAGGTCATTTTAAGATTAGAAGTAGAGTGAAAATTTGTTTGAAGTAATTGTTTCTAAAAGTGGAGTGGCAGTTTATGGAGCTCTTACCTGTACAAGGAAAATTATGAGAAAATAAAAATTTGCAATTCTTCTAAACTGTTCAAACAGATTCTTTGGGAGAAAATTCCAAAGTGTATACTGTAAAGAAGAAAGAAAAAACATATTATCAAAAAGCAAACTAAAAATCTTAGCAATGACTCATATGGGTCCAAGTTATCACTACACTTTGAAAACATGTTAAAACTCAATGCACGGCCAGTGTGGCTCACTGGTTGAGCATCGGCCCATGATCTAAGAGGTCACCAATTTGACTACTGGTCAGGGCACATGCCCAGGCTGTGGGCTTGATCCCCAGTAGGGGGCGTGCAGGAGGCAGTCAATTAACATTTCTATCTATCCCTCTCCCTTCCTCTCTCTAAAATCAATAAAAACATATTTTAAAAAAACACACCCAAACCTCATACATACGAATAAGCATATACTTAGAGATATAGTAAATAAACACTTTTGAGTAATAAAGTTTCACATTGACCATTACAATTGGGCCATCTAGTCCCAGACCTCTGCCGTCCCTGTCTTAATTTAAATTAGGTTCCTTGTTATGTGCTCTCATATCATCCAACACTTCCTTGATAACACTTGTTGCAGTGGATAATATATGCATGCACTTTTATTAAAATTTCTCCTTTAATAGGCAATGACACAAAGTAGACACTCAATAAATTAGTTGGATGAATGAATGAACAAATTAATTACTCTGGCTCAGCTAACCTCTGGAGTCTTGATCACAATCACAGATATAACTCTGTCCCAACCAGTACCTCCCAGATCCATGACACCTGAGGAGTACACATAACCCTGGGTCACAGAGAACTTTCACTATAATCAACAACATACCACCCTGGGCTTTTGTAATTGGTAATATATAAAGGTTTTAATGCTAAACTGTACATGGGCAGGAGGAGAGACTTCTTGGGCCAACTGTCAAATCACATAGACTTTCTCACTGATACCTTAAGCACAAGAACTGAGTCAGTTAAAAATCACCAGAGGAAGTTGAATTTTCTAGATACTTGAATAAAAAAGACTAGAAACCAGTAAGAAAAAAAAAGTCTCTTAAGCTAAATATCTAAATGTATACTAATGTGAGAAAATATCCATTAAATTAAGTGAGGTGGATGAAAAGCCAAAGTAACAGAACATGGGAATTTATACTACTAACCCCTCTTTAAAAGGCATATGGGTTCGATTTCCCAAAGGAATATCAAGAAAATGAAGATGAATGGAGGGAAACATATTCAGTGATGCAGCTCCATTATAACCAACAAACAACCTACAAAGTTCTTCCCCCAAGTTTCAGAAGTGCCTCAAGGAAGTCCATTCAAAATTAAGTGCATAATTGTGTGTGCATGGACATCAGTTGGGAGAAGAGAGTCCACATTTTCATCAGATACCCAAGGCAGCTTGTGACCAAAAATAAAAGGGATCAAAACCACTGATCAACTTTTTTGTGTGTAATTAAAGTTTATTTGAGCACAAAATACTTTCTCTGTCTATAAAGTTTGTTTCCTGACCTGGGGGGAAGATCTCTCTGGACAACTAAAGCCAGCATAGCTCTGTGGATATATACATGAGTGGCTAAAGCCACTTCACCAAAGTGTCTCTCTCTCATTATGTTTTCTTCAGGGAGATGAAGAAGGCATCTGGATGAAGATCTGGGAAGATTTTGAGTGGGCCAGGCAATTAGGATATACCTTGAGGAAGCCCACCATCTCCATGGATATTTCTATTGCAGGTATCCACTGAGGCTAAGAATCACATGATTTCACTCATATGTAGAATATAAAACTGAAAATCATGGACACAAACAACAGTGTGGGGGTTTCCACAGGGAAGGGGGTGGGGGTGAAAGGGGCCTAATATATGGTGACAGAAGATGATTTGACTTTGGGTGGTGGGAACACAGTGCAATATACAGATCTTTTAACGCAGAAATCTACACCTGAAACCTAGGTGACCCTATTAACCCATGTCACCCCAATAAATTTAATTTAAAAAACAAAACAAACAAACAAAACACTGATCCAGTCATTTTGAAGCTGATGTAGTCCGAATCAGCACTTAACTGTTTCAAGAATAGGCTAACAGCTGAATTTTTGTCTTGCTGACATTTTTTTCCCTAACTAAAGGTTTTTTAATTGAACAAACATTAGGAACTGTGAGAGTCCTCTGATGGGTCTTGACACATAAAAGGAAACATTTTTGTTCCTAGGGTGACACGGTTCTTTTACCCTTTTTCTACCTTCCTAAAGAACAGGTTCCTTGAGAAACTCAGGTTATTCCCTTTATAGGAAACTACTACTATATGCCCTCTTCTTTCCTATTTCAGTTCATGAGCTATTATGGGCTATAACTACACAGATGAACTTAGAGGATATTATGCTAACTATGTATGGTGCTAGGTGGATACTGGAAATATCAGGGGGAACACTTTGTAAAGTATATAATTGTCTAACCACTGTGCTGTATACCTGAAACTAATACAAAATAATATTGAATGTAAACTAGAATTTAAAAAAATGTAAAAAGTACAGCAGAGGGAAAGTCAATTATATATATATATTCCTAATATGCAAACAGACCGAACGGCGGAACAACCAAACAACCGAACAGCACTACAATGTGCACTGACCACCAGGGGGCACACGCAGAACATGGTGAGTGTCGGCAGCAGGTGGCAGAGCGCAGAACATGGTGGGCGTTGGCCATGGTGGGATAGTAAAGCAGGTGAGCGGGGGTGCCAGACCAAGGCGGGGGGCCCGTTGCTGCTTCCGGTGTTACTGAAAATTCTTTGCTCCCGTGCACCGTGGTCCTGCGCAGCGCTCGCACCTGCTGCTGGCACCGGAGCCGCCACTGACACCCGCTGCCGGCATCCAGTGCCAGCCCCGATCACTCAGCACCATAAGTAGGTACAAGTGGCGGCTGCCGGCCCCGATCACCCCTGAGGGCTTCTCCACCTCCCCCTGCTCCTGAGGGTCGATTGGGACCAGTAGCCTCCTCTCGCACCCACTGCTGGTGCCGGCCCCACTTGCACCCACTGCCGGCGCCAGAGCTAGTGCTCGCACCCGCTGCCAAACCCAATCACTCGGTACCGTCAGTGGGTACAAGCAAGGCTGGCACCATCAGCGCGTGGGAGTGGCGGTGGTGGGAGCAGGGCTATCAGCAGAGAGGGGATCAGGGGCCACGGCGGGAGGGGCCGGGTGGGGGCGGGGAGGATGGGCCAAGACCCACCCCTATGTCCACTGCAGCCTCGTGGCCCACAGTTCCTTTCAAGGTGCATGAGTTCGTGCACTGGGCCCCTAGTATTTTAATAACTATGTATGGTGACAGGTGGGTACTAAACTTATTGGGGTGATCACTTAGTAATCTATATGAATGTCTAATCACTATGATGTACACCTGAAACTAATATAATATTGTATGCCAACTCTACTTGAAAAAAATAAAAATATTAAAAAAATAAACTCAAAATTCCAAACAAACAAAAAAGGTCAGAGAGCATATCATAGCCCCTTTACCACAGGTATCTAACAGGAAATCTTGATTAAAACTTGTGTGTTGGTCATTTACTCTTTTGCTCTAACTCAAAAGCAAAATTAAACTTCTCATCTCTTTATTATAATACAAATGTCATACAGCATACCTTATTTTAAGGAAGATAAAAAAAAGCCTACTTTTTAGAAAAATCTGACTTAAATTTAAATTTAATTAAAGCCATATATAATAAGTTATTCAAATTGACTTGTTTACCTAAATAGTAGTCTCAGACTGAGTTACTAAAACCAATTACAATGTTAATTCACAGGAAGATAATGTTTGTAGCATTTCTTTCATTAACAATGAGAATAAAGTTTTTTGGGGGGCCATAAGTAAGTTCTTACTCAAAGAAGTGGATCTTAACATGCAATTATAAAATTGAATAGCAACACCAACATAGAATATGTTTAAAAATGGGTTCTACAGAAAACTGCCAGCTTTGCAAGTATATACAATGTACTTCACAAATACTCTGTAGTGAATATAATTGGTACATAAATGTGGCCTCTAAAGATGCAATTATGGGGGGAGGTGTTAAGATGGTGGCAAAGTAGATGGATCTTTCTAGCACCTAATTCCAGAACCAAACTGGAATTAAAACTAAACTGGGGGGTTTCACCCTGAATTACCACCTGAAGACTGGCAGAAAGGGCAGGGTCATGAAAGGGGCTGGCCGAGCTCCTAGGAGTATTGGCCCAAGGGTGAGGAGGGTTTCCCTAGAAAGAAGAGAGGTCAGGACCCCAGGCAGGGCATCCCAGAGCCAGTAGTAGCCGCTCACCTCTGTAGGGAACAGAGACTCCCAGAGACAAAGCAACTTTTTTTTAAGGGCTGCCACACAGGATTTTCTTTCCCAGTCACTCACCCTAGGTTTCACAGAGGGAAAGCAATACAGACTGGAGTAGCCTGAGGAGAGACAGGGGTGGAAGGAGTTGGGGAGAGTCGCTGGGGAGTTGCTGTCGAGATACCTGTGCTGGGTCATCCCCCCACCATATAGGAGCAACCATTTTTCCAGAGAGGCAGAAGTCTGTGGAAAGGCAAGTACCCTGGTCACCTTGGGATACAGTTTGCCCCACCCTAAGCAATCCCACTCACTCCACCCTCTAAAATCCAGCACACCCCATCCTGCATCTCAACAGGAGGCAGCAGTCTCAGGGAGCGCTTTGGAGTGGGGTCATCACATGGTTGGCACTTCCCTGTCACCGAAGAGCTGGTAGAAACTCCTGGCTTCTGGCAGACCCACCAGACTGCCTAAGAGGGGTTCCACCCTGCCGAGGTCAGGGAAATATTTCAGAAGAGACTCAGTGGACTGGCTCTGGGACAGGCAACACACCCACCATCTTCCCTTAATTCTGAATTTTTGCTGACCGGCCGCAGGGCCCCATGGTGCTAAAAAATCCAGTCTACAAGCTCAGCTGGGCCCCTCCCATGGGCAGCAAAGCCCAGTAGAGGCAGCCACAAGATGTGGATTGCTTGAAGTTTTGAAGATGTTCCCGAGAGCCAAACGTGGCCAGCTTCTGACATTGGTTAACACAAAAGTATCT